TCTCCATCCGTCTGAGTATGCTCGGCGTGCCATCTCATCCCTCCAGCAGTCTCCTCAGATTGGTACAATCTTTTCAATCTGTCTGTGATTGGTAGGTACCACATCCTTTGGTACGGTACCCTATTGCGCCCTCGACCTTGCGGTTTGAATCGTGGCTTCTTACAAAATCGACATTCTTCTAACTTCTCATCATCTCCCCGGTAAATCATGCAGTTGTCGATGCAAACGTCTATCATCTCCGAGGGCAACCCAAGACTATATACCAATTTCTGAATATGATAATAAGATTCAGCAGACACATTGCCTTCTGACAAATACTCTTTAAACAAGTCTGCCCATGCATCCATACAATTTCCAGGTAGATTGTGATCGGTTTTAATACTCATCATTCTAGCAGCCAACAGCAATTTAGACAGACCTTCTCTACAACCACTGTAAATTGGCTCATTTGCAGCTTCTAACATTTCGTAAAACTTTTTTGCATCTAAGTTAGGTTCTTCAACTTCATCATCATCATGAGTTACAAATGCATCACCTACCATATCATGAACCCTATCACAATCTACCATATATTCCTCTTGGTGATGATAGCTATTACTACTGCTACCTTCATTACGCAAATGATCAACCGGTTCAACCTGAAAATTGCTATTACTACTGCTACCTTCATTCCTACAACTAGCATCTTCTCCATGTTGATACCAAATATAATAATATGGCATGAAACCCTATTTATTAAATGCTTCCAAACATTTTCACGAGGGCCTAATTTGGTATTGCAGCATTTCTGACAAGGACAAAACATCTTACCACTTTCCTGCGTGAGTGGTGTAGAATCTGCTTGATGCATAAACGTCTCCAACCCTTCCAGAAATTCTTTCGTCACCCTCCCGTTATTATCTTTGTGTGAATACATCCACTGCAGCAACTCGGAAATATTTCCCGGAGCGGACATTTTTTTTGTGTTTGATCAAACTTATAGCTGATTTTTTTTTGGTGTGTTTCAAATGAATCACATAAGGTGGTATTTATAGAAATTTTCGAATCTGAGCATTTACTAGGAAATTGCTTGGAAAAGTAGGTACAAAAGACGTTTTTGATTTAAATTCGATATTTTCTATCAAGTTCCTCCTAATTTTGTAGTAACAAAACCCTTTTCTCCTAATTTCGTAGTAAAGACTTACTATGACTTTACGAGGAAAAGTGGTACTACGGGTTTACGAGGAAATGTACTTTTTCCTCGTAAGCTCCTCGTAACATTACTACGGTCTTACGAGGAATTCGGTTTCTCATAAGTTTACGAGGATCTTACGAGGAAATTTTATTTCCTCGTAAAACTGAAGTAAGAACCTAGTAATTTTACGAGGAACAAATTTTCCTAGTAAAATTTCCTAGTAAAGGCTTAGTTTTCTTGTAGTGTTTACGTAGAGTACATATTATAGCTAAATCGGAAGCGATACTTTACAACAGTAGGAAATATCCTTTTTAATTTAAAAAAAATCTTCTCACTGCGATTTATATATTAGTAACTATTTATCTCTCATAATAAACCAAATTAAAAACAAGCTACGAAGACAATAAAAGAAAACCATGTTATTAATTAATTAAAACGTTATAGAAACCGTTAAATATAAATATTGTCATGATTAAAAGAACTCAAACAAGAACAAATCAACCGTTAAATAAAAATAAATAAATATAACACTAACTAAGAAAAATAACAACGAACTAGAAGGTGACGTGACAAGTGCAACGAACAAGAGGAACAAAGAGAGGATCGTGGAAGTATCCCCAAATAACGTCGTCACATTCGTTTTTCATGTTGACGATAAGATTGCAACAATACTTGCTGACTTAAACAACCTCGTGTAGAAACTGTACGCCATCTCTCCCCGACAAAACCCAACAAGTCCCATGTTACTGTAACAATGTCCAATGTACTCTAATGGATACTCATGATAATATTCTGGAGGTGAGTTCGATGGCTGGCTAGGAGATGATGACTCATCATGATCACTTGGCGGTGAAGGAGTGGGAGACTTCTTGAGAGTTGGAGGAGGAAGAAATGGTGTCGGTGGCGGTGGTGACAGAGACTTCTTGGGAGTTGGAGGTGGAAGAGATGGTGTTGAAGGTGTTGGAGACAGAGACTTCTTGGGAGTTGGAGGTGGAAGAGATGGTGTTTGAAGAGGAAGCGGTGGTGTTGGCGGTGGTGGAGATGGAATTATCTTGGGAGTTGGAGGAGGAAGTGATGTTGGTGGTGGTGGAGATGGAGTTATTCTGGGAGTTGGAGGAGGAGGCGACAGTGTTGGCGGTGGTGGAGATTAGAGTTATTCTGGGAGTTGGAGGAGGAGGCGACAGTGTTGGCGGTGGTGGAGATGGAGCTTTCACGGAAGTTGGCGGCGGTGGAGACGAAGTTGGAAGGGGTGGAGACGGTGTTGGTGGGGATGGAGATGGAGTTTTCTTGGGATAAGAGGAGGAAGAGACTGTGTTGGCGGTAGCGAGAATAGAGATGAAGCTTTTTTGCAGTTGGAGGCAGAGGAGAAGGTGTAGGTGGCGAAGGAGACATTTTGGGAGTAGAAGGTGTATGAGACGGAGTTAATGTTGTTGACGGTGTTGGTGTTGATGGAGTTGTAATGGAAATAATTGTTTTAGATCCGTTGATATGAACACACTTCCAAATTTTAAATTAAGGGGTATAATGGTATTTAAAAAATATAAATCTTAATTAACTAGTAAATCTTGTATAAATCTTACTTTCTCAAATCCTAGTTCTAGATGTTCCTTTTTCCAATTTTTTTTTTTTTTTTTTTTTGAATGAATGTAAAATTTTATTCAATCAAAACATTGTTACAACAAGTGCAACATAAAAAGAACCAACTCAACTACTAAACCCCACCAAACAAACCAAAATCTCCCTCAAGCAAAACCATAAGACACAAGTCAAGCTTGGGAAAGATCATGGAATATCCCTCATTAAAACCTCTTAAAGTAAACCCAAATGGGACAAACCTTTAGAGAGGAAAAAGAGTAGATACTCTATAATCAGGAGAACAATAAAGAAACCCAAAAACCCAAAGAGAAACCACCCACCAAAACACAAACCACAGCTGCAGAAAAACCGCATACGCCAGACATCCAAAGCAGAACCTCAGAACCAGATAAAGAAAACCCGAACAACCAATCCAAAGAATAAAGCAGAGATCTGTGTATTTGATGTATAAACAACTAGAAAAGCTTATAATTTCGTGGATTTGGTAAATTTATGGTTGACGTCCGCAAAAAAATATTGCAGAGAAAACCTAATCTATCGGGAGGAAGAAGATAGTAATTACACTAATGCCACTCATTAAAGAAATTATTAAAAAAAAAAAAGAAAGCCAAAGCCACGCTGAAGAGTGTTTGAACCCGAGTTGCTAGCCTTAAATTCGCGAGCAAATGCCACTAGACCACTGTAACTTAATAAACATTGTATACGTAAGCTAATAAATATAAATACATAGGGGTGGGCGCAAGGCGAGTACTTGCTATTTTGCATGTACTTGCGACTTGACTTGCCTTGTACGAATATGAAAATTTTCGACTTGTACTTGACTTGCTTAAAACGAGTACTTGCTATTTCGAGTACTTGATGAAAAATAAATGATTTGCAAATTACTTGCCTTGCTCCATTACTTACTATTTACGAGTACTTGTGAACTATTTACGAGCTTTTCGGAATATTTAAGAACTACTAACTAAATAATATTATGTTAGAAATAGACATGAAAGTTTGTTTTCTTTATTCTACTTAAAGTAACATGTAAATTATTTTAAACAGAATATTTATTCATATTATAAAAAAGATAAATTAAAAAATGCATATTACGGTATATAAACATTGTATAATGATCACGATAACAAGAATATCTTCTCTAAATAAGTAACAAGTAATAACAAATCATATAACTAAATTTTTTAATATTTGTTGCTGTGTAATACTTGACTAGATAACGACGAGTATTCAAAGATCAAGATTGGATATAAAATAAGTAACAAATATAAGAAAAGTAGTGAGTTTATGTCTAGTCCTAAATGCAAGTAAAAGAAAAGACAAATATGAAAAACTAATTAATAGATCATGTAACAAATAGCAAGTAATGGAACAAGTAACGGGGCGGAACGAGTCAAGTACAAAAAATAATAATGATACTTGATACTTGACTTAGTCTTGCAAGTAATGAAAATTGTTGCCTTGTTACTTGCCTTGACAACACCGAGTACTTTACTTTTTAAGGCGGATACGAGTCAAATACCGAGTTTAAGGCGAGTAACGAGTAATGATGCCCAGCCCTATAAATACATGTATCCCAAACATAGAATATTAGTAAAAATTAATCTCCCATTAATCCCCGATTAATCTCCGATTTTTTGATAAGTCGCTAGGCCCATACCAACCGCCCAGCGTCTTTTCTAACACTGAGTACGACTCATAACTTTTCAGTCCAACATCTTTTCATTTTTTCATGCGTTCTCTGAGTCATGGAAGCTCCAAGCCCTAACAAGCGACTTCGCCGAGACCCTCCTTGTCTACCTTCTTCATCCTCCTCAGCCCCAAGCTCTCTTCCTACTGTTCCCGATCTCAACCAGAACCACGTCGATCTGCTCATCTCCTCCTTCCTCTCCTTACCGGACTTGCCTTCGCTATCAATTAGCAACTCGTTCGATCGAGCGATTAAGAAGCTATTGGAATCTTCTGCTGATGAATCCGTTAAAGATCGTATCAACGATCGTGGTCTCAGACTCGCCTCGCTTCTGCATGAGTCCACGAAAAGGTGCGCTCGGAAGCTCGCTGCTAGTCACAATTCCAATTCCTGGAGTCTCCCTCATGAACTCACCGTCAAGGTAACAACGAATAGCCACTTTCATAGGAATCTCGAGATTATGATTTAGGGATTTGTAACCTTGCATGTGCTTATATAAGTGATTCTCTATAGATGTAAGCATTAAGCATTTGAATGATGTTCCGAATTTTGTAAATCAGTGATGCCTCGCGCACTATGTTCTATAACGAGTGATTTTTTTTTTTTATTGATGTAAGCAATTGAGGATTCTTAGATTATGCGTCTGAATGATGTTCCATTGATGTAATCTTGTAAGCAATTGAGGATTCCTAGGTTATGCGTTTGAATGATGTTCAGTTGATGTAAACAGTTTTTGGTTTATTGAGTAGTATGATGGTCTGTGTTGCTTGTATTGGTGGGGAACCTGAGGAAGCCTTCTGTTGGAATGAGATCTACGTACTGTGTTTTATAATGAGTGATTTTCCATTGGTATGATGGTCTTTGATCTTTTTTCTGCAAGTGGCAATCTGAGGAAACGTTCTGTTGAAATGATGTTATTTGTAATTCGATTATTCAGGTCTTTTCTATGCTTGATACAAAATCTCTGATGCGAGCTTCAGCTTGTTGCATCATGTTCAAAAAATGTGCCATGGACCCTTCATGTTACTCCCACATTGACTTGCCTGGAAATGCTGGAAATAGAGTCGTGCGTAGTATGATCCTTAATGCCGGAAAGGAACTCAGGTGAAATGTTTTTGCTTTTTTTTTTTGCTAACTTGGTGTATCTAATCATCTGTTAGGGTTTTGTTGATTCATGCAGATCCCTTAAAGTTGGTTGTCCTGGTGATTCTTCAAAATCTATACGTTCAGGCTCGTGTCTTGCCCCATTGTCCTATAATCATGGGTTTCTTGGGTATTCCCTTTACTACCAGAGTTTTATTGGAATTTACCAGACATAGAAATTGGTTCTATGGTTTTCTAATTTGGCGTTGTTGTATTTTTCCCATTAAATAAGTAAACTCTTGAGAAGCCTACACCTTTACGACAACAGATGGTTGGACAGAAATTTCTTACTCCGTGCCTTGTCTGTCTGTTCAAATCTAACCGATCTGAAGATTGTTGGATTGTAAGCTTTTCATCATTTATGCTTCCCATCTACTTCTTCTTATGTCTGTCTATTTAGTAGTTCCTTTGTACCATTTTAATAAGATCGAAGAATTTCTGTATTCAATCGCCAAACTGCCTAAACCTGATCTGCCTAGTTTCCTTATAAAGCCTACACACTCAACCAAGCGACTTAAAAGTCTATTGCAGAGCTAACGAGTCTCTATTTACCTCATAGGCCAGTTACAGTAGCCATATGCTGGACTAATAAGAAAGCTTTGTCACAGTTTCTCACTTTCTGCAATATTTGACAGGTGTTCTAATTCAGCTGAAAAAATATTGGACTTGCTTACAAGCAAATGTGAGCATCTGTTCTTAGAGCAACATATCAGATATGGTAAAGTTTTTCCACTGATGCTTGCTTTTGCTGTCCTACCATGTTTGCTTAAGTTGACCCTAAATGATTAACAGGTACGTCGAGCTTTAACTCTGGTGCGCCATTCGAGAGAAACTGTCCCAATTTAACTTCACTATCACTTATAGGTTTCGACCTAGGTGACGGTAACATATACCATCTTGTTAAGGTACGGCTCGTTGGGTTTGGTAGCTCTTCTGTTTATCATTTGGTTCTACCCAAATGTTACACAAATATATCGGGATGATGTTTGCAGGGTTTGGCTAAACTCAAGTATCTGAACATATCCAAAACATTAAGTATCAATGGTGGCTTTTTGAGGTTTATGTTATCCGAGCAAACATTAATGATGATTTCGTTCTTAAGTGTTTCCTGTTAGCAAAAGTTCTCATGGGTTAGATATTTATTCTTATGGTAGGCTTTTCAGTTCTGAGTTGAGAGGCTCTCTGCTCGAGACTCTAATATTGCGAGATTGCAATTCTCTACAGGAGGTAAATGAACTTTTATATACTACAACTTTTTTTTTATGTTGTCTCATATTAAATGTCACAATGTTTCTACCCTTTGAATCAGAGTAAGGTTTGCGAGTTTTTGGATTCGTTACTGATGTCCAAAACATACTTCAGATGCATTCGACACATTGTAAGTTCTTAATAAGACACTACTAGTTTTGGTAGAAATCTGCTGGTGATGGGTGGAATTTCTTTACTCATGATCTTTTTTCGTTAACAGGACGTTTCAAATGACCATTGTTTGGTTAATAACGGCAGGAGATGTAGCAAACCGAAGTAACTGACATTTTCTTGTTGTTTACCATTTGTGAATTTGACAAACGTAACTTGGTTAGTGATGCACCGGCTTATATTGCCACTATTGTGTGTTGTAGGTTTCCCCTAGAAGAGCTGAGAGAAGAAAGACCAGGTCTCACATTTGTGGCATATTTTAGGTTACCATCACCTTCTTCATCTTCTTCGTTAGCTTCTTCATCTTCTTCGTTAGCTTCTTCATCATCTTCGTCTTCATCTTCTTCTTCATCATCATCAAGGTTAATCAATTGGTTCTTATCCTTACAAAATAAATGACTAGGAATTGAATTCAAATGATTTGTTGCTTCTTTTGGCAGTGAAAGTGAGGACGACTAATGGCAATGGGATACTGTTGACTTGTGAGTCGTGTGATAATGGTTTCTTCACTTCTCTTTTTTTTTTTTTCCTTTTGGAAGAAGATAATAGTAGGCATAGTATGTTTCTGCTCTTTTATTTTGGATCATGTACTGAAGGACATGCATTCTAGTTTTTGAATGAACCCACTGAAAAAAGGATTCAATGGACTTCGAAACTTAAGAATCTAACTTTATATCAAAACAACATTTTTACAACTAAATTTGAATAAACTACCTAATTTTAGAATTTTATTTTGTGTGAATCGTATTTTAATTGCTGGGACCAATTTTGCATGGATTAATTCGAGAATGATGCATGGTCATCACATTTGTATAGGGCGAATGGCTTTTTAAACCAAAAAAAAATCTGCGCAACTGCGTTAATTTTTTTATTTATTTATATAAACTAGATTTTGACCTGCGTTTTTTAGCGCGGAAATTTTTTATGATTAAAAATTTATGTAATTAAGTTTTTTCTTAATTTAAAAAATGTTTTGGGATAAAATCAGTTCACAAAATTTTGTGGTGATGATATTCATTAGTTTTTAGTTTCAGTTTTTATTTTTAGATTTTGTTTATATTTTGGTTTTTAGTTTTTAAGTTTATATTTTTGATTTTCAGCTTTTGGTTTGGGTGTTTAATGTTTAGACCCGCTGAGTTAGTTTGAATTGATACTACTAACAAACAAATCTCAAATAATCGAACATCTAATTTAAAACTGAAAAGATGACAAACAAATTTTTAAAACAATTTGCAATAGTTTATTTTGTAAATAAATAAAAGCAGAAAATATAACTTTTTTTTTCAGTTTTTGGTTTTGGATTTTAGTTTTTAGATTTGATTTTTGGTTTTGCTTTACATTTTTTTAAATCAGTAAATTATTTAGGAGAAATATAACAATAAATTATTTAAAAGTTACCATTGAAATTTATCAAAACAAAGTGATTGTTATTTAAAATATAAAAAAATACATTAACATTTTTTAAAGTACATGATTTAAATAAATGATTAATAATAGACAATTTTGTTTTCTTTAAAAATATTAAATACTTTTTGGGCTCGAAAATAATAACTGACTTTTTGATCCATTAAGGTGGAAAGTTTATTTAAATTTTTTTGGAGTTTTTCCTTAATACTAAGCCCAAAAACCAAATCATATAATTTGTTCTAAAAACAAAAGTAAGCCCAAGACTATATCCCATAAATAACCATCGGTTTAATTTAAGTAATGCGGTTCAGTCAGTTATATGACTTGTATTATTTGTAACATCCTAAAAAGAGTCCAAATTTAAATGACAATTTGTATCAGTAGATAAAAATAATGACTCTATTTTAATAGAATAGATATAGTATACATTATAATTACATATATGTTATATGCATTATGCAAACATAAATATGTTATTCAATTTTCTTATTTTTCATCAAATCAATTATTTCAAAATGTAACATGTGTTTTGTTTCTTCTTATATATATAATTGTTGGCATTTTTGTAAATTTGACTCAAAACTCAAAGCTAAACACAAAACTAACATTTCTTGATTTTTCATTTGTCTTATTCACCCCATCTGTTCACATTATTTACGAAAATGCCATTACGCTTTTTTCTTTTTCTTTTTTTGAAAATTGTTTTTTACTCTCTCAACCTCATCATCTTCAAGTATTTACAAAATTGACATTGCCATCAATACCCTAACTACCATGAACAATCAATTTGAAGCTCTTAATGCACCTAAAATCGATTTACACTCTCTCTTTCTCAATTGTTATGAACTAAAAACAACATCTCTTTCATTTTGTGTCCATATTCATACAAAATACTCAAGCTTTTGATTCAAAATTTTTATGGTTGATAGAGCCATTTAAGCATACAATTCTTGGTGGGTTACTTTCATTTGATATTCTAGGTGGTTGGAGAAGACTTTGTGTGCTAAGAAAGTCATCTCACCTAATTTAAGGTATGAAATTGAAATTTTTTCCAGATCTGTTCGCGTAGAATACTTACTCGTAAGTCTTCTGGATGAGCTGGACGACTTACTTCTAAGTCTTCCAGCTTTGTATGTTAAAAAAAAAAATTCTGGACGACTTATAAGTCGTCGTCTAGGAAAAACGGGCTAATTTTGCATTTGACCGAATTGTGTCAGATATTTGACTTTTCTTGGACGACTTACCAGTAAGTCGTCTCCGGAAAAGTTAAAATTTCAATATTTTATTAAATCTAGACGACTTACGGATAAGTCGTCTTAGGTTAGTTTTGTAATTGAAAAAAAACTTTAATTTTAATTTTTTTTCCAGAAGACTTAATTTAAAGTCGTCCAGTCAGACAACTTATTTTAAAGTCGTCCAGTCAGACGACTTATTCTAAAGTTGTCTGAGATAAGTAAAGTCATCCAGATTTTTTTCCGGTCAAACTTTGCTTATCTCGGACGACTTTAGAATAAGTCGTTTGACTGGACGACTTTAAATTAAGTCTTCTGGGAAAATTTAAAATTAAAGTTTTATTTTTCAATTACAAAACTAAACTAACACGACTTATCTGTAAGTCGTCTAGATTTAATAAAATATTGAAATTTTAACTTTCCCGAAGACGACTTACTAGTAAGTCGTCTAAGAAAATTCAAATATCTGACACCATTCGATCAAATGCAAAACTAGCCCGTTTTTCCTAGACGACTTACTTATAAATCGTCTAGGACTTTTTTTTAACATACAAAGTTGGACGACTTAGAAATAAGTCGGCTCATTTAAATTTCAATTGCAAAAATGACATGTCTGGAAGACTTACAGATAAGTCGTCTGGACGACTTACGGTTAAGTCGTCTGCGTCAATGACTAATAATTAAATCATCTGGAAAGTCTTCCAGCTGGATGACTTTCCAGACGACTTAATTATTAGTCTTCTACTAAGTCGTCCAGGCTTTATGAGTATGTATTAAGAATTTGTGTTAATCTTCTTAGATGACTAATAATTAAGCCATCTGGAAATTCTCCGAGCTAGATGACTTTCCAGAAGACTTAATTATAAGTCTTCTACTAAGTCGTCCAGGCTTTATGAGTATGTATTAAGAATTTGTGTTAGGCTTCTCAGATGACTAATAATTAAGTCATTTGGAAAGTCTTCTAGCTGGATGTTTGATCTTCTTTGAATTTTACTAAGTTTTCTTGGTTGAATAGAATGATAAAAATATTTGATCAAATCTCGTAATGTTTGATCTTTTGTGAATTTTACTAAATTTTCTTGGTTGAATAAAGTGATAAAAATATTTTTTTTGAATTACTTGTATTTTTAAAAGTGTTAAATAACTTCATGATATGTAAATCTCATATTTTTAAGATATTTTTTCTCCCTTAATTTTACTAAATTTGATTAAGTTTTTCAACACAACCTTGTAAAACATGTAATATGCTTTAACACCAATGATGATTTATTGGAAGAAAGGTTAAAATGCTTCTTAAAATGTTGTATCAATACGAGGCTACCAACATTCTTGTTTCTTAAGATGAGCAGAAGGCCATTGTGATTTATTATTGCATATGGGAGATCCAAAAGATGAAAAAGCTACTGAAGTCTATTATTTCATTGATTTGTACATGTGTAAACACATTGTTAGCACATATATTACATATTGGGAATCTTATTTTACAAAACTATAATAGATCATTCCTTTACAAAGACAAGCTTGAACTCCACTTGATATGAAAGAAGACAGCTTCAGAAAACTTTCAGAAAGTCCAGACAACTTCCAGACGACTTACAAGAATTCCAGATGACTTACAAGAATTCCAGATGACTTACATGAATTCCAGATGACTTACAGGAAGTCCAGACGACTTCCAGGTAAGTCGTCCCAGAAGTCTTTCGAGAAGACTTACAAGTAAGTCGTCCAGAAGACTTACAAGTAAGTCGTCCAGAAGACTTCTAGATCTGAAAAACCTGCATTTCAAGCCCAGATCCGAAAAACCTTCATATCAAAAAACATTCAAATGGCTTAAAACACACAGAAAATGAGTGAAAGATTAGATATATATATACTTTTATAGAACACATAACATACATATCCAAATGAAGATGAGAACCATCTGATTAAAAACCTGAAAAAAAGATAGATTAGTGAGAAAAACATGAGACATAACTGAAAAAATCATATAAAGTTAATAGATCTATCTTTAAATGAGTGGAATATGAGAATCATGTGATGAAAAACCTACAAAACAAGATAAGTTAATGAGAAAGACATGAGACAAAAACAATAAATTGATATAAAGTTTGGTGTTTATAAGTTCAAAGAGATTATAGAGAGGTTGGAGAGTTCTAGAAAGATGAACATTACATTTTTTGTTNATGTGATGAAAAACCTACAAAACAAGATAAGTTAATGAGAAAGACATGAGACAAAAACAATAAATTGATATAAAGTTTGGTGTTTATAAGTTCAAAGAGATTATAGAGAGGTTGGAGAGTTCTAGAAAGATGAACATTACATTTTTTGTTGCAGACATTTGAGAGGAGGAGAGAGAATGTGTAAATTTTTCTTTATATAAGGAAACAAAAAAAAAAATTAGGTTAAATATTTTCGATTAAGATGACTGAAATGTGAGTCGTCCAGGAGACTTTATTAGTTTTAGCGGAAAACTAAAATATTTCTAGCGGGAAACTAAAATAGAAGACTGTCGAGAAGACTTACAAGTAAGTCGTCCAGAAGACTTACAAGTAAGTCGTCCAGAAGACTTACAAGTAAGTCGTCCAGAAGACTTACAAGTAAGTCGTCCAGAAGACTTACAAGTAAGTCGTCCAGAAGACTTATAACTAAGTCGTCCAGAAGAATTACAAGTAAGTCGTCCAGAAGACTTACAAGTAAGTTGTCTGGTTTAAATTATTCAAACGGGAAAATAATTTTTTTAAAAAAATTTTAGGCAGGAATATGAGTACGACTTACTTATAAGTCGTCTGTGTAAAATTATTTACCAGACGACTGATATTTCAGTTGTCCAGACCCTAAACCCTAAACCCTAAACTAAATTGACTAAATTAACTAACTAACCACGTTATAAAATCAAATTATATTTAAATAGTGTTTACTATACACATAAATAAATACACTTAGGTAAATTTTTAATTTTTCAAAAAAACATTTATGCTTTCGAAAATCTAACCCTAAGAAACACATACAATACTACAACATATATTGGTGAAACCTATACTAAAGAATATCATGACTCACTACTTTCAC